TGATACGACGTTTGAAACTTTCAACTGTGGCGACTTTAAGGCGAACGATAATTCTACGATATCGTTATAACGAATGTTCTCGGCGAAAACTTGTGTTTGAAAACTGTGTATCATGCCGCGGAAACATGCGAATTGCGTGCACACACGTTGGGAAAGGAAGAGCGGTTTCGAGAGAGAGACTTGGTATTTTTCATTGAGTTATTGCTTAAATTATACCTCTTGACAAGTTGTATAATGAATACGTTTCGCTTAAACCCCCTTGAGGGATGCTGACAGGTATACCTGTGTTTAATTTTTGGCCAAGTTCGTATTCATAATTCGAAAAGGTTTCTTTCGAATATACGCGCGATAGAGAGTCGCCTTGAATAGGATAAAAAAACCGGTATTTATCGTCGTTACTTTTTTTTCGAATTTCGAATAATAATTTCAAAAATAATTTCGAAAATAATACACCACGTTTATCAACTTCTATTTATTAATTTTTCATTTATTAATATATACATATATATATATATATGTATATATACATCGCGCAATTTATAATATTACGACAGCTTAATTTAACGTTCGTATAAGTACATTTAGTTGAACTGTGTATTTTGCGTTGAATTATGAACTGTATAACGAGTGTTCCGCTTTCCCGCCAGAGAATTAAAATGAAAACTTCATTCAATTTGCCCGTTTCAAAATTCGAAAAAAGCTTTTCAAACGTTAATCATATAATATTTTTACTTTTACGTCGATTCGTTTAACAAAAAAAAAAAAAATTAATAATAAAAATATTCATACGGCAAATAATATAAGTAATAATTAAAATTCGATAAAAAATGTTTTCGTATTCCATCAATTTTATATTTAAAAAAAATATTTTCTGCGATAATATGATATTTTAATTCGTGTTTTATATATATATATAAAATTAAATTGACCGTATCCTTTAACGTACACGTATTATATCGATTTCATACTATTTTTTTTATACGTGATGTTTCGAAATCTTGATGATGTCACTTGATATTTATTTATATCACATTTGTATATTCGTTGCCTCGTTCCGTATTTTAATGAGATAATATAAAACATGAGACTTTCCCGTGGATCTATTTTCCCGTCCACTTTCGCTCCCGTTTGCTTCCGTACATTGGATTAACAATCAGCTTTGCACTTGTTAAGCAACGAAGTGGAACAACAACTGACCGGGTTTTCAGGATTAGATCGAGTTCCTTCAAGTGCCTAGAAGAAATTATTTCACGCGTAAAATCTTTGTTTGCAGTTTGTTTTTTTTTTTTTTTTTTTATTAAATTAAATTCCGAACGAGATTTACTTTCGATGAATCGAACATTTGATTCCCAAATAGCACGTGAACACGAAACAAGTTTATTTTCAGTGATATAGCAAGAATAAACGCATAAATGGAAAGTTTATAAATAAATAAATGATGAAAAATATATCTACATTTGTATATTTAATTGTACATTTTTCAACACAATTGCACAATATCAAATAATTTTATAATTTTCTCATCCCCTATTATTGAATTTTATTTTGAACATGAAATCTTAATCACCGTAAATGTTAAATTCACGTCAAAATTAAATTCAATCTAAATTTAATTACGATCCATTCGTTATTAGTCGTGTTTAATTGCTTGCTGAACGACGCACTTGTCATAACGTATTTCCACGAAAATATTTTTATGCGCGCGATAGAAGAGCTGAGCGCGATACAATTACGAAGATATGATCGGTATCACCAGCGTCTAGGGATCACTGGAAACACGCAAGTTATTTATACACTCTTTATAAACCTCCGTAAATTTCCTTCGTTTTGTATAAAATTCTAAATACGTGAAGTTGCGTTCGATATGGGGAATTTTCGAACGAAAAACAAAATTCCTCAATTTATAACGTGACCTAGATATATCGAGCATTTGATATCGCTCTGTTAATGTCTTGCGACATCGACCTTCGATATATTCATATGTAACACCTAGAATATCTCACCTGTCTACATGTTACATTACGAAAATAGATCCCACGTAATTTTCTATTACGTCTCGATCGATCTAGAATCTAGAAAATAAAAAAAGAAACATCGTAAATATTTATTCGTACGTTGTTAAATTAACGTATGCGATCGTCACGTGTTTCGTGACGTTCGAGTTTAAACAAATAATTAATTTTTCATGGAACGATAACATTATCGTAATAACATACAGCAAAATTTTCATAGATATAGCGTTGATAAGTTAAAGGGGTCTATGGGTGCATAAATCGAAAGAACGATGCGTACACATAGGATCTGCACGAGGTAAAGTCGCTTCCTTTCGTCGCGAGCAGGCGGCGCTGGGATCGCAAGGAAAAGCCACTAACTAAATTCATGTAAATTCATGTTACGTTCTTACGAAAATTACGAACGATATCAAAGTGAACGGGACCACCATTTCTAGGTCGACCACTGTGGGACACTTTGTCTCGTTACAACGTGGCCGTGTATCCATCAACAAATAATTTTTAACAAAAATTCCCAGCACGGTTTAATTTCCTATTTTTTCATTGGTAAACGAATTTATCCGTTTTTTTATCTCTTTTCCTATACGAGCGTATTTTTTTTTTTTCGTCCTCATTTACATACTGGATTTTCTTTATTTTCCGCGAGAACAGAATTTTCGTCCAATTATACTTTTACGAGATCTACGACTAACGAGAAATTAGCGCGAGTACCAAAATTGCAGAGTTGCTCGAGTATCTCTAGTAACCGTGTTTATTCCTATATAGGATGAAACAAAAATCCCTAGAATCGCGAGTAAATAACTTTTAGGAATACGTTAAAAGAAAGTACGAACTAATTTGAGAGGGTAGAAAAAAAAAATTACGAGAACTTGAAAGCTACGATAAAAACAAGGATTTACATAACGAGGAAAGTTTCGAATGCAAAGAAATAAAATCCACCGAGTCGCGTAATTCTACCCAATTACTTACACCTAACACGTTAGAAACTATCGTTTAAGAAATGATCAAAGACCACTTTGAACCGTTGTCTGTTCATTTTTATGTTACAGCTCGCCGTTTGAACGAATATATCCGCCACTACGAACCACTCTCTTATCCCACTGAAGAGGTCCACCGAGGTCACTTGAGGGCCAAGAGGTCGGTTACCCGCGACAATTCCGTGACTCTGAAGTTTCGCTCGCACGGAAGGGACTTCCATATTCGGTTGAAGCGAGATCTGGCCACCTTTAGCAATAATTTAATTATCGAAGGGCCGTCCGGTCAAACGGAAGACCTCGATACGTCCCATATTTATCAGGGCCACTTAGTCGGTAAGTTTAATCATCATTTTCTATCCGTTCACTCTGCGATCTGAATTATACGTACGAATCGTACGTTATATTATACGTGAAACCACATTTTGACAGGAAAGTTTCCACATTTTTTTTTCCATTTCCATTGCCTAGAAACTGTTGTTCCGCAACAGGATGATCACAATATACTCTCGTACGTGTTTTTATTCGTAAAATTTAATGAAAATAACGCGTGATATAATAATGAAAGCGTAGACCAAAGGATCGTTGAACCTTCCACGAAAATTATAAAGACCCCCTCGTGTCTAAGGTCAAGGTGTCGTAACGTTGTTACAAAGACGCCTGCGCGTAAAGGTGAAAATGTGGTAATGGGTTGAGTGACTTCGCTTACACAATACGTCGTGCACGGTGTTGAGCTTTCTATAGCGTATGTAAATCACAACCACTTTGCCATTCAAGCGTTACACTCGAAAACTTTATCCACGAGCAGGGTACCGTTTCACCGGTATAGTCACCGCGTTTATATCTCTTCTCTTTAAGCCGTCTCGCGATACCCAGCACAGGTGTGGCACGCAAAAGTGCGTGTAGATACCGGGTGAGACCTTTATTTCCACTCTAATAATTTACGATAGTTCGTGCACAAGGGGACATTTTAAATTATGGATTGGCTCGAGCCGGCTGTTGGAAACGGTTTATCTTTCACTTTTGTGCTCCCGCCCCTCCCCCCTGGCGCGACCTGATTACGTCTACGTCTATTTACCGGAAGGGGGAAAAAAAGCTCGATCTCTTATTTCGATTCTTAAAGTATAGGGGAGGAAAAAAAAGAATTTTAAAATATTCGTGACATTGAAGGACACTTGGCCCCGATTTTTCTTTCCTTCCATTTTATAAATAATAGGAGTGGAAAGGATTATTAATATTTTCGTCCTCTCCCTATAAAGATTCGATCGTTTTATGGAATTTCAATAGCTGTTTATTTTTTCAAAGGTTAATTTCTTTTTTTACAATTATAATTATATTATAAAAGAATGGACGAAGAAGAATCTTTATTTTAAGTAAATATAAATATCGTACATTTTTATATTATATTATTGATCAATTTCGTCAGTATATATTTTCACGTTTTTCTGGATTTATCATCGATAATACAACATTGTTAATATTGTCTTTTGCTTTCTGATGTGACATTATATTTTTAAACAATTTCAATTCTACCGATATCTAAGAATATACTATAATATACTAAAATATATATATATCGACTAACTTCACGCACAAAGTTGTCGTAGTTAATTTAGTTCTTCGTTCCAAGAATGGAATGAAATATCGATATTATACTATCCTTGCATGTAAGTACCGTATCATATCTAACCTGTTCAAACCGAGATTTATAACCATGGAATACAATTCTTAAAGAAACTCGAAATAACGTGCTGTCGAGAATCGTGTGAAGTATGCGCGCAACTCCCTCACCATTTATTTCCTCGCTTCCTATACTACTATAATATAAACACGTTACGATAAAATGAATATTTTTAATCCCTTTCTTTAATACCATTTAAATTATCGAAATATATTTATTAATTCTTACTGGTCGATTCTTATAAATATCTCCTCTCCTTATTCGTTCCAGGCGAGCCCGGCAGTCACGTGTTCGGAAGTATCAGCGACGGTGTTTTCCACGGGAAAATCATATCGCCCCGTGGTGGCGCGTGGTACGTGGAAAAGGCGTACTATTACTTCCCGCCACACGAGATAAATGACACGTTGCATTCTGTCATCTATCATGAAAATAACGTGGACGATCCGTACGCCCATCTTCGAAAAGGTAAATCGAATCGTCTCGTTCTTTTCTTTTTCTTTTCTTTCTCCCTCTTCGTGTCCAATTTCAGTGTAAATAATACAAAGATAGCGTTACGAAAATCGATCGGAAGAGAGAGAAAAAGTCGTCTCGAAAGCTCGTCGACGTTATTAAGAAGAAGACGTGAAAAAGTATCAAAGCAGCGATCGTCGAGCAAATTCATTGTTGAAAGATTCTCTGTGAATGTTTTTTTTTTTCATATATTTTATTTATTATATAATCGATTATTTCCAATTGTTCTTAACTTTTTTCTTCGTAACTTCAACTATTAAATTTTACCCATCGTCATCCGATATATCAAGATAATTTTTCAACCTTGGTTGTACACGTTAATAAGTAGCTAAAAAAAAAAAAAGAAAGTAAAACGTACGCTATGACGTAATGGTAGAAGCACGACAAACGATAGAATTTTCCAACGGAATTAACCGTTACATCACAAAGCGTATAACTATAAGACTGGACGTTGTGTTATTACGATTAATGCGCTTGGAATCGCGCATTGTACTATCGCTCGTGTTAATGAAACGCTATAATTAATTTTAATTACGCGGCTGCACGCGTTTCCACGATAGGAGGTCGAAGCGGCAGTTTTCGCGTATTAAATGCGATATAAAATGCAAATTCCTTTTAATCGTCGAAAACTTTCCCGTACAATTTCCCGCCGTGTTTACAAAGCGCGTTTTTTGTTTACAAAAATTGGTGGAGCGAAAAATTTCGTTCGTTCGAAACGAGGTTTTCGAAAAAAGGAAAACTTCGACAACCGGGATGGCCGGGTTGATAAAATGTTTCCCGAAAGGATCAATTTGTAATCTTATCCTATTGTACGCGACACATCCCGTAATGCTCCATCAAATATTATTCGATTCCGCAGTGACAAATGACAAATCCCAGCAACGGATGGAATATCGATTATCAATATTATTCCATCCATGAATGGTTAACTTTCTCGATCGATCCATAAATAAAAAGAAACGCGTGTTACGCGGCAAGTGACATTAACGACGACCTTACAATACCTTTAACAAACTTTAATATCCGATTCGATCTCATCCGCCCATATTCTTCTCACACTTATCACATGGTCGCAATAGATAGACACGAGCAAATCCTACGAGACATTCGGTAATTTTTAAAAATTTAGTTTCAGAAAGGTTGCAGTTTCGGATGAAAAACAGTCGTGAAAACGGGGGGGCTCGGCCCACTGCGACACGGCCCTGCATCGCAGTTCCGCACTTACTGTAGATTGCCTAACCTAAGGCGTTTCGAGCGCAAAATTAAATTGCTCGTAACTCGATAAACTCGAGCCACAACCGAAATTTTTGCACGCCAACGTTTTTACTACCTGTTTCTCGACGAAGTCTAGAAAGATCCAAAGATCTTATCGACACAGCAACGTATATAGATATATCTAGTAGCGGACAACTCGTAATATTCGCGATGGCGAGGCTGCGTTTGCACACTTGGAAGGACACGCTCCCTTTACCGCGCGATGATACGCGGCCTCTATCCCCTCCACCAGAGTCTAGTCAACACCACAATTTAGTTGACTCGTTACGAGGCATCCTTAAAGGAGCATCCAACCGTGTACCGGTTTTTAAGCGAACCGTCTTAACTATATACCGCGTAAACCGCTGCGGTATATTCGTGAATAGAGTAGAGTGCACAAGTGCGTTTTGTGCACGCATACACGCACATACACACACGGTTGGAGAGTGAAATTCAAACAAATAGCGTGGCTAGAGAAGGCCGAGGTTCGAGGACTTACGGAGTTAGAGTGGCTAACGAGGGTACCGGTTGATTCAGACTGGAGGGCATTGCAGTTTCCGCTCCATTTGCTCCACGTTCCTCCATTCCATTGTGTTTTCACCTTAGTGTGTATAATTTTGTGTATACTCTCCTCCTCGGAGTTCTCAAATTCTCCATGATTTTTCTTCACTTTAAATAACACAATACGGAAAATTATTTTTAAAATTTCAACACTTTCCCCTCGAGAGTTGTATCTCAGTCGAGTGGGCGAATGATTTATGCTAGATTCTTTGGAGATCTTCGACATTTCTTTATTAGGAAAATGTATAAAAATCATTTTTGGGTTCCGTTTGCAAGACACTCGTCACGTGTGCGCGAAATCACCTCGACCGAAAAAATCGTCGAGCTCAACACAGGAACTCAACACTTGGAAAGAAGAAACGACAGAGGATCGTAAGGATCGAAAATAAGAGAAGATAATCGTACTCGTCACCGAGTATTTACTTTCGTGCATTCGTGTACCGAGTATAGCCGTTCCAACCGGTCCATTTCTATCCCCCGTTCCAACGGGAAGAGATTACACGTTTCGGGAAAAGGTGTAGACGAGGGTCGATAGGGTCGATTCCACGCTCCATTCGCGATATCATTCGCGAAAGGAGGAAGGTGAAACGGTTCTATTCTCTCTCACGGGTTTATATTTGTATTTGTATATACCGGGGAATAACAAGGTGGAAGATATTCGCCTGGTCGCCGAATTAGACGTAGCCACACGGAACACACAACACACACATCGGTTCTGTATGGATAGGAGCGTGTAGATTTCAGCCAGCGCAACCTCCGCCATGTTTATAGCATTTGCGCAAATAACTGACGCTTAAATAAACAGTTGCCGGTATCGCGTATAATATTTATCGTGCCCCTCTCTTCGTCCTCCTCCTCCCCCCCCCTCTCCTCCTCGTTATTGCACTCCTCGCGGACAAACTCACGTCATCTTTGTCTGTTTACGCGTTGTATATACGGGTGTGTATGTGTATATATTATGAATCCGGAAAATTAATTTTCCATTCTGAATTTTCCACCATTCACGTTTATGCGATCTTTCTATTTTTTTTCTTTTCTTTTTTTTTTTTTTTTTTTTTGGATATTTAATTACATTCAAACTCCTATCCGATTAATATTATGGCATCACTTGAAATTGCCAATTATTCAAGAATAAATGATCGATCGATCGTAACTCGTTAAATTCTATTTAACTTTTGCTTTTAACGTATTTTTGGTCCTCTTATATTTTCTTTGCGTAAAATAAGTTCCTTTTTTTTTTTGTATTGGTTTGACTGTTGTTGGAGAGGCGAACGAATTTAAGAATATGAAGCGTATCGAAATAAGTTAGTTTTGGGAGAAAATTCGGTGGTAGTTTCAAAAATTCAGATATGAAATCCATATTAAACAAAGACAAATTGGAAGCCAAAATAGCTAATCCATGATATTTGGGTGCAATGAGTTTCGCTGTTTACAATTGTTTTAAAAAAAAAAATGAAATATTCGACGAGAAGAATTTCTTGGTGCATGAAATTTTGTAAAAATGGTTAGTTGAAAGTCTCGTCGATAAAACGTCATTAAAATTAATGGCTCGTATTTTGATGGAATAAAGATTACGAATTACGTTTCGAAAATATATATTGTTTTTCTTTTCAAAAACGGCAATTTTCACGTGATACGAGCTAATATTTCATACCGCACGCAATTCCATTGTATCGAGCTATTATTATGGAACAGTATCCAGTTGGCTAATGAATATTGCGCGGATCACCTTCGTCGTAAAACAGTATATACTAACGTTACACATCCAGGCATTGTAACCTCATATTTAGAGATACGGTATTCTGCGATTCAATTCAATCCAATATCCGATACAATTACAATCGAAGAACAAAGAGATCGTTCTTACTTAAAATCTTCAATCGATAACCTCCTCTTCTCCATTTATTCTCTCCTATTAACGCGGTCGGTAATTGTTTCTACCACGCACAGTCGTATTATTCTTATTACCTTCCGTCTTTCCATCGATCGAGGTGGTTGCTCGCTACAAAAGATCAATCCTTCGCCAAGAATTTCCATCAAGATGTTGTGATAAAACGTTCGCATCTTTACCACCTACCTCGTGTAACGGTAATCCGGTATTAAGTTTATAGTGTAGTATCAATAAAGTTTAGCCAATATCGTCACATCGAGACGCCAAGTCATTAAACCTCGTGGCTCACGGTTAACCCGCCGATAAAACCAGCATCGACCGCTGCAATTATCCCTGGCCTGACAATATCGGTTTGTTCTTAAACTGTTGTGCAGTAAGCGCGGTACAAGAGAATTTTGGAATTATCGATCGATCGTACAATGGGATGTTGTTAATCCATATAATTGTAAATATTCGAAATCCCTGTCTCGCCTCTCTCTCTCTCTCTCTCATTGGGATTAATGCAAGGTTATTTGGACCTACCTGGACACTTCAATTTCGTTACACAGGTTGTTATAATCTACAACTTGGGTCATGGAACACCGTGCAACGCATCTACACGGTGCTCGGATCTTGTGCAGTTCGTAGAGGGGAGATTACGAATGGAAGTTTTTTGGGAGATAGAATTCTTCGTTGTAACGTGTCGTTCGAGAGTTTTATAGATATTTGTCACGTGATTTATAATCGTGATCCGATTATAAATCATTCGTTCGTTCCTAAATGTTTAAATATTGGTTTTAAAATTTGTATCGCACAGAGATCATCCGATTTACGTCACTCGAAGATATGAAAGTTTATTAAATTTAAAAAATATATATGGGTGTTGAATAATTGCAGGAAGAACACATTCCTTAAAATTTTAAAATTTTAAATGGCATTCATATATTTCGATGCAAAAAAAAAAAAATTTTTAAATTAATCCACTCACGTCCCAAAATTCATTAGTTTCAACTGAGAAGTTTAAATTTATCGTCGCGAAAGATAAAGCGCGAATAACTGTTCCCTTCTCTTTTACTTCGCAAATTTCAACTTGTTCCTACCATCTTGTCCCGTGCGCGAATAAATATCCCCAATTTTTCTGAAAAATTCTGAAAAATTGTTGTCGTCGACGATATGAAACAACAGTTTTCGTTCTATCGTGGGACGACATCAAAGGACGAGCCTATTATTCGAGAACGCGCGATCGTTTCCAGCCGGTCAAGTTTATAACGCGTCGCAGCGGAAGTGGCGATGCGCAGTTTAATTATTCGCGTAATTTCGAAATGCGGGG